TGCTTGGAGACAAGGATACAGAGCCCAGCATAGGAGACGGGACAAAATCATGAGGGTCAAGGACCACACCTGGTTTAACTCCCAGAAGAGTTTTAGCCAGTAAAGAGCTGCAAGAAGGAAACCACACTCCACGAGAGGCCACTAAGATAAACGCTTGCATCTGATTAAGTTTTCACCTGAAGAGTGTGGGTAAGGACAAGCCTGCCTTGTTGGGTTAGGGTGAGGGGAGGGACCCAATGGAGATCTAATCCCAGAGGTTTGATCACAGGGGCTGATGAATGAGAGGTGGAGATCGGGAACATACGCCTTTTTTTTTGAGACGGGGTCTCGCTGTGTCACCCAGGCTGGAGTGCAGTGGCACCATCTCGGCTCACTGCAACCTCTGCCCCCCAGGTTCAAGCGATTCTCCTGCCTCAGTCTCCCGAGTAGCTGGGATTACAAGCACCTGCCACTGCACCCGGCTAATTTTTCTATTTTTAGTAGAGACGGGGGGTTTCACCATCTTGGCCAGGCTGGTCTTGAACTCCTGACCTCATGATCCACCCGCCAAGGCCTCCCAAAATGTGGGGATTACAGGCATGAGCCACTGCACCCGGCCAGCCACTCTTTTTTTTGAGATGGAGTTTCGCTCTTGTTGCCCAGGCTGGAGTGCAATGACACGATCTTGGCTCACTGCAACCTCTGTCTCCTAGGTTCAAGTGATTCTCCTGGCTCAGCCTCCCGAGGAGCTGGGATTACAGGCAGGCGCCACCATGCACAGCTAATTTTGTATTTTTGTAGAGATGGGGTTTCTCTATGTTGGTCAGGCTGGTCTCGAACTCCCGACCTCAGGGGATCCGCCCACCTTGACCTCCCAAAGTGCTGGGATTACAGGCATGAGCCACCATGCCCAGCCTAAGCCACTCTTTTGGAAAGCTCAGCAGAGAAGATGCATGAGGTAATACGATGGAATGTTAGGTGGCCTTTAAAGGGATGTTTATAGCTTTTCATAACATGGGTGTATTAGTCTGCTCAGGCTATAACAAAATAGTATAGACTGGGGGGCCCTACTCAACTGAAATTTCTCACAGCTCTGGAGGCTAGAAGTCTAAGATCAAGGTGTCAACACATTTAGCCCATGGTGAGGGCTCTCTTCCTGGCTTGGAAATGGCTACCTTCTCATTGCGTACTCACATAGTGGAGAAAGCAAGCTCTCTGCTGTCTCTTGTCATAAGGAGACCCACCCTCCCTCCTGATTTCATCTAAACCTAATCACCTCCCAAAGACCCCATCTCCAAATAACATCACATTGGAGGTTTGAGCTTCAACACTGGAATTATGGGGGACACAAACATTCAATCCATAACAGTGCTGATGTTTATGTTTTAATGTTAAATGATAAAGCACGGCACAGCAGCACACACACCGTGTGATGCCGATCTATTTTTTTTTTTAGATAGGGTCTCACTCTGTTGCCTGGGCTATACTGCAGTGGCGTGATCACACCTCACTGCAACCCCAACCTCCAGGTTCAAGCAATCCTCCCACCTCAGCCTCCCAAAGTGCTGGGATTATAGGCATGAGCCACCATGCCTGGCCTCCAATTTGTATTTAATGCCACTGAACTGTATATTTAAAAATGGTAAATTTTAGGTGATGTGTATTTTACCACAGTTTTTTTAAAAGTCTAAGAGAAGGCAAGAAAGGAGAAGAAAAATTTAAAAGAACAGAAAATATGGAAAAATAGAATGCACAAAATAATATGCTATAAACAAATCTAAATGTATCAGAAATCAAATAGATGTTAAAGGACAAAACAGACAGAATGGATTTTTTTAAAAAATCTAGCTATTAGGCTGGGCGCGGTGGCTCAAGCCTGTAATCCCAGCACTTTGGGAGGCCAAGACGGGCGGATCACGAGGTCAGGAGATCGAGACCATCCTGGCTAACACGGTGAAACCCCGTCTCTACTAAAAAATACAAAAAACTAGCCGGCTGAGGTGGCGGGCGCCTGTAGTCCCAGCTACTCGGGAGGCTGAGGCAGGAGAATGGCGTAAACCTGGGAGGCGGAGCTTGCAGTGAGTTGAGATCCGGCCATTGCACTCCAGCCCGGGCCACAGAGCAAGACTCCATCTCAGAAAAAAAAAAAAAAAAAAATCTAGCTATTGGCCAGGCATGGTGGCTCACGTCTACAATTCCAAAATTTTGGGAGGCTAAGGTGGGTGGATCACCTGAGGTGAGGAGTTTGAGACCAGCCTGGCCAACATGGTGAAACCACATCTCTACTAAAAATACAAAATTAGCCGGGTGTGGTGGCGCATGCCTGTAGTCCCAGCTACTCAGGAGGCTGCGGCAAGAGAATTGTTTTGAATCCAGGAGGTGGAGGTTGCAGTGAGCTGAGATCACGCCATTGCACTGCAGCCTGGGAAACAAGAGCAAAACTCCGTCTCAAAAAAAAAAAAAAAAAAAAAAAATCTAGCTATCTGATATTTTCAAAAGCTCTACATACCAAAGACACAGAAAGGAAGAAAAGAAAAAACTGGGATAGGCGGGCGTGGTGGCTCACACCTGTTATCCCAACACTTTTGGAGGCCAAGGCTGGTGAACTGCTTGAGCCCAGGAGTTTGAGACAGCCTGGGCAACACGGCAAAACCCTGTCTCTACTAAAAATACAAAAACCTGGCCAGGCGTGCTGGTGTAAGCTTGTACTCTCAGCTACTCAGGAGGCTGAGGTAGGAGGACCACTTGAGCCCAGGAGGCAGAGGTTGCAGTGAGCTGCGATTGCACCACTGCACTCCAGACTGGGTGACAGAGGGAGACCCTGTCTCAAAAAAAAAAAAAAAAAGTAAAATAAATAAAATAAATAAATAATAATTAAAAAATAAAATATTAGTATGGTCACTTCATAATACCAAAGGGTTCAATACACCAGGAATGTGAAACTGTATCTAAAATTGAAAACGTGGCCTAAAAATAAATAATAAAATGAAAATTACCAAACTCTGTGGAGAAACTGATGTGTCCATCACTACAGTAGATTTTAACACATATCCCATCAGTTGACAAATCAAGTAAACAAAATGACAGTAAGAGAAAATACTTTCACAATAAAAGGATAAGACAGAGGTAATGAATATATGTAGAATCCTGCACCCATGCTTGGCAGTGACATATTCTGTCCAACTGCAAGAACTGGTGTCACACAGACCAAGTTCTTTGACCACAGTGCCATTTAGTCATAAGTTGATTTTTTCTTTTTTTTTTTTTTTTGAGACAGTCTCTCGCTCTTGTTGCCCAGGCTGGAGTACATTGGTGCGATCTCAGCTCACTGTGACCACCGCCTCCCGGTTCAAGTGATTCTCCTGCCTCAGCCTCCCGAGTAGCTGGAACTACAGGTGTGTGCCACCATGCCTGGCTAATTTTGTATTTTTAGTAGAGACGAGGTTTCACCACGTTGGCCAGGCTGGTCTCGAACTCCTGACCTCAGGTGATCTGCCCGCTTCGGCCTCCCAAAGTGCTGGGATTACAGGCGTGAGCCGCCTTGTGTGGTCAATTTTTTTTTCTTTTTTTTTTTTTTTTTTTTTTTGAGACGGAGTCTCGCTCTGTCGCCCAGGCTGGAGTGCAGTGGCCTGATCTCAGCTCACTGCAAGCTCCGCTTCCCGGGTTTACGCCATTCTCCTGCCTCAGCCTCCCGAGTAGCTGGGACTACAGGCGCCCGCCACCTCGCCCGGCTAGTTTTTTGTATTTTTAGTAGAGACGGGGTTTCACCATGTTAGCCAGGATGGTCTCGATCTCCTGACCTTGTGATCCGCCCGTCTCGGCCTCCCAAAGTGCTGGGATTACAGGCTTGAGCCACCGCGCCCGGCCAATTTTTTTTTTTTCTAGAGCAACTGGGGGAAAAAAAAAAAAAAAACCCAAAGCCATGTGCTTGGAAATTGAAAAAAACATTTTAAAGTAATTTGTGAGTCGAAGGAAGAAACAAAGAAAATTTTAAAAATCCTTGGGCTAACTTCAAGTGACAATACTATCAGAACTTGCTAGATACAGCTGAAGTAGTTCCAGAGGGTTAGCCTTAAATGCTTACATTTGAAAAAAGGGTAGAAAAATCAATGAACCACATTTATAATTTAAGAAGTTAGGGCCGGGCGTGGTGGCTCATGCCTGTAATCCCAGCACTTTGGGAGGCCGAGGCTGGTGGATCACCTGAGGTCAGGAGTTTGAGACCAGCCTGGTCAACATGCCAAAACCCCATCTCTACTAAAAATACAAAAAATTAGCCGGGTGTGGGGCAAATGCCTGTAAATCCCAGCTACTCAGGAGGTTGAGGCACGAGAATCACTTGAACCTGGGAGGTGGAGGTTACAGTGAGCTGAGATCACGCTACTACACTCCAGCCTGGGCGACAGAGCAAGATTCTCTAAGCAAACAAACAAAAAAAACAGAGAATGTACTCTAAGACCATAGAAAAAATAATAAAGATAAAAGCAAAAGCAGAATTTAATGAACTAGAAAAGAGACACAGAGTAATACAGGGCAATAATGCCTACGTGTCTGCTTCTTGTAAGACCAATGAATCTAATGAACTTTTACCAAGACAAGGAAAAATGGGAGAAGGTACAAGTAAACAACAAATACTAGGAATGAAAACGCAGATATAATTACAGATGTTGCAAAGGTACAAAAAACTATAACATGAACAACTTTACGCTAGTCAGACAAAATGGACAAATTCTTAGAAAAAAAAAATTTAACAGCTTACAGTAGCCCAAGCAGGTGCAGGGAAAATAAAAATAGGTTTAGATGTGTCTGTGTGTGCACAGAACACCTCAAAAGACACAGACAAGACCCTGGATGCAGCTGTTCCCTGAAGAGAGGCATAGGCAGCTGGGAGACCAGGGCAGCAGGGACACTCAGACCTTGCATCACTCTGGAGTTTGCACTTCCTGAATTGTGAAGCATGCACATGTGTCACTTATGCAACAGTGAATCCAAACGTGCCTGTATACAAGGAAAGGCCTCACCTGGCTGCGCCGTGGAGGCTGGCCTGGCGTGTGGAGCAGGCAGAACATTAGCAAGCTACTGAGCAGGTGCAGGTATGAACATCAGCTGACGCTGGCTCTTTGCTTTCTTTTTAATCTTGACAAATTTGGAAGGTGAAAAGGCATCATTTTTGTTTTCGTTTGCATCACTTTGATTACCAGCAGGCAGAACTCTTTTCCTATCTTCATTGGCCATCTGTATCTCTTCTTTTATGAATTTCCTGTTCATAGTCTTTGTTCATTAGTGGTGACTAGTGGTAAGTTAGCAATAAGAACTGTTTGCATTCAAGTCTAGACTGAGAAGGAAATTAAAAAATCTGCCCATGTATTCTCACAATAAATGACTACTGACTAGCCTGAGATAATTGTACCCACTGCCCAGTCAGAGGCATTAAGCCCAGGATGATTCACTTCAGACTTGTCCCTGACCTTCCTCATACCCTTTCCAGAAGGGCCCCTTGAACTGCTATGGTACTCCTAAATTACTATCCCATTACCCAAATGATGGAGAGCCAATCAAAAGCTTAGACCAGAACACTTTCCCAAATTATCTTCCAATACCTTCACAATGATCACTTTATATACAATCTCATTGAATGCTCAGCAACACATGTAAGCAATGTTTAACTGAGGGCAACACTGAGGCTCAAAGAGGGCAAGTGACTTGATTGCCGAGGTCACCTGCTAGGTTCAAGAGCTGAGAATTAATCTCAAGGCTACCTGGCTCAAAAAGCCTAACCTCATCTACTATACTTGAGGCAAAATCATGAAAGTGTGTTTTTACCTTGCCCAGACCCTGCACACTGCATCAAGGTCCTGAGTTTCAAGCAACAGAAATCAACTCTGGTTAAATTCAATCACAAAGGAGTTCTTGGGCAGCAGATCTGGAAATGGAGAGAGAACTAGAGAACTAGGCTCAGAAAAGTTGCAGGAATAGAGGCTGCACCACTGCAAATACAGCCAAGGTTACAGTGTAGGGACCTGCTGGTTGGGACACCCACCCTGGGCACTGCTGCACATCATCAGTAGACATTAGCCACGATTGTTGGTTTTGTGGCTTAGGTGCCACCACCATGACTAATCCTTTACTGTCCCTCAAGAGTCAAAATCCATGAAGGCAGAATGGGTTTGGCCAAGCCTAGGCTTCATCACCATCCCCTAGTTTCCAGAGAGCAAGGGGAGGGAATATATCCATTCCCCTGTGGCAGGCACTGCCAGCTGTCCCCCAACATCCATGTTCTCCATCTGCCTTACTAATGAGACCCTGTGCTCAGCTAAGGAGAGTTATTTCCCGCTTCCCAGTAGACCATGGGATCACGTTACGGCGAAGGAGACAGTGGCTGAGCGCACTCCTGTTCATCATTCTCTTTCAAGCTTGCTCTTGTTCTACTGACTATGGGCGGAGCACACCTCCCACCCACTGACTCTGGGCTTGCTCACGTGTTGATGGGATGGGGGAAGAAGAGGCTTTAAGAGGCTTCTGTGACTCTGCTCACTCCTCTTGGACTCCTGACCTCCGCCTACGAAGAGACTTCCCCTGGCAGTTGCTTCTCCCTCCTGGGTCCTGGAACGACAGGCTTGAGAACAGATCTGAATCCCATCTTGCAGCTGACCCAGACCCATGTGTGAGAAATAAATAATTGCTGTTATACCTACTGAGCTGCTGGTGCTGTGTGTTCCCTGGGACAAGATGATGGGTGTGAAGATGGAAATGGAAATACTGAATGGGCCTAGAAGTTAAGATGTCAAGTGCCATTTTGCCTTTCCCCTATGACCTCTTTCTTCCTACCTGGAGGAGTGGATGCAATGACTAGAGCAGCAACCATCATCTCACAACCAAGAGGCAATCTCGAGAAATGGAAGACACCCACTGAGGGGCCCAGGGTCCTGGATCCTTACAAAGCCACTGCAGTGGTCATGGACAGCATGAGAAGGAAGTACACCACAGGCCCCTAACCCCATCTTCAGGTTTTCTCAGGTAGAAACTAGGGTCCACCTGCCTCCTACTAAGATATACACAATGGGGAGACTTTTAACACAAAAAAAGGTATGAAGATGGTCAGAAGCTAAAAAAGCAACAAAATGTTCATGATATGCCATAGTGAGGTTTACTCACTACACTGCTTTTCCACCGAGTTATCACAATCACTATAACTCAACCCATTGAAAAAATGACAAAATAGATTCTGAGATTCTCTTCCTATTTCTGTTAGCTAAAAAAGCAGCCTTTGAATTGTTTATAAGTGAATTCAAGAGACAAAAATAAACCCAGATAATTCAGAATGTACTGAGTACAACACATATGCCTTCTATGTCATAAGCTCCCAGCATTATTTATTCAAAGAAAACTTGCCTCGTTGCAAAAATATAAAAAAACTTAAAAAAAAAAACCCAATTACACAACACACCACCTCCTACAACACCAGATTCCTTTTCCTTCCTTTGTAACCTCACCAGAAGCAAAACAAAGCATTGTTCAAATTGCTGAGACCCAGAAAGTTCAATTAGAGCATAAAAAATGCTCTCCCAAAGTATAGATACCTAGCAGGGAAACAAGCAGGCTAAACCTCCTGAGTGAACCTGGACATTGGCCCCAAGTAACAGGCACATTTAGTCACCAACGACTAGATTCCACGTGATTGAATCCAGAAACCCTGCCCCTTCCCATTCCCTTGGCGATCCAGGGGGACACCATCAATTGCTCACTCCTTCTCCTTATACTTACAGTTAGTGGTGCTATACTATACAGGGGAAGGCGTGAGGGAGTCACACATGCTTTGGTGCTCAAGAAGCTCATAAGCCATTAGGGAAAGAGCAAAATGCTAGAAAGCGGTTGTCACTTCTGGCTACAGAGGTTGCAAAAGACATCTGCAAGGGTCAGTGAGGGCCCAAAGGAGTAGTAACCAAGGCCCTGAAGCCTGGGAGCTGAGGTGGGTAGTGTCAACCTCTTCTCAATAATCAGTTCCTAAGGTTCCATCTGAGCAAGCAGGAAACCACAGAGGCCATTCTCATGGGTACTTTAAGCAGTGCATCTGTTGGCAAAACACAAATGCTGCCACACAAATACTAAGCCACAGATTGCAAAGGCACCCGATAGCCCTCAAAATTCATTTCTCTTGTTTCGCAAAGCTGCACTGGGAAACTGTGCTGTTAAATTATATGCTCATAAAGGAGGTGTGTTTTAAAAGAGGGGCAAATATGTGGGTGCTATTTAGACTCTCACTGATTTGTTCCATGTTTTCAGATAACTGCACTCCACCCCTCCCCCGCCAAAGTAACTCAATCTCCACATATTTGCCTTTATGTATACCTTCTAACTCATGACTACGGCTTTGATTAACCCATAAACAATACTGTTCCTGTTAGCCATGGAGAAGCTAAGGAGCCAACAGCAGAGCAGGCTGCATGTTCTTCCATCCCTCTTATAAGACAAAACCTTAGGGCAATGTCCCACTACAGAATTTATTTGTTAAATCACTCAATAAATTAAAATATGCATGATTCTAGGCACTGAGGACATATCGAGGAAGAGGCAAAAAAAAAAACCTCTGTCCTCATGGGACTCAGATTCTACAGGAGTGGGGAAAGGGAGGGAAGGGAGTGGGAGAGCACAAACAAAACCAAGCAGTAACACAGCTTGTGGCAGATGGTGACAAGTCCTATGCTTGTCAGGGGGAACTGGTGGGGCAGAGGCAGGCTGCTTGATTTACAGACAGGGGTGTGCTCAGGGAGGGTCACACTGAGAAGGTGACACTTGAGCAGACATGCGTGATACCTGGGACAGAGGGCAGAGGAGAGGTCAAGGCCTTGAGGCAGGGGTATACTTCGAGGGTCCAGGGAGGAGCCAGGAGGCCAGTGAGGCCGCAGTGCATGAGTGGTGGGAGAGTGGCAAGAGAGGTGATCCTGTTGGGCTGTGATTCTGAGTGAGCAGGGACCCACTGGAGGGTTCTGAACAGAAGAGCACCCTGGTGTGGCACACAATATTGCAGAACTAAACCAAGAACCAGGGGGCAAGGGCAGAGGCAGGGAAGCCGGACACCTGGACCAGGGTGGGAGCAGTGGAGGCAGGGGAACTCATCAGATTTTGCATCCATCTTGCAAGTGGAGTCACAGTATTTGTGGACAAACGAGATAACCAGCGCCAGGTTTCTGGCCTGAGGAGCAGGGAGTTGGAGTTGCTGTTTACTGGAAAGGAGAAGACCAGGGAAAGAGAAGATCTGGGGAGGATAAGGAGTTCCCGTGACCCAGTCAGCCTGGAGACATAAATTTAGGAGCCATGAGGCTGGACGGAATCACTTCGGGAGTGAGGGTGGAGAAGAAAAGCCTGAGCCTGAGGCCTTCCAACATCACATGCGAAACAGAAAAGACTTGAGGAGGACAGACATTCACACACTCACCCAGGACTTCCTGAGGACCCACAGATGCCAGGCACTGTTCTAGGAGCTTGGGCTACATCTGTGAATCAAGGAGACAATCCTGTCCTGTGGAGCTTCTGCTCCGGCAGGGGTGATAGCTAAGATAAGCACAGTCAGTCACGTATTCAGCTAGAAAGAGACAAAAGCTGTGGTTTGCACTGAGAAGGTGCACATCAGTGCAGAGACTCAAGGGAGGGAAAGGATTGCCTCGTATGGGTATTGGGGTTAACTGATGACAACAGCTCCAGGACAAGAAGTGACAAGCAGCTCCCAGATTTAACAACATGAAGGTCATCACTGGAGACCTCATGGAGCAGCTTGGCAGAGCTGTGGCAGCAAAGGAACATTGTAGAAGGTTGAAGAGAGTGTGGGGACAGGGACTGGAGTCTTGCTGGTAAAGGAAAGCAGAGATGCTAGACAGGAGGGGGTTGGGAGCAGCTTTTATCAAGGTGGGAGAAGTAGCAACAAGTTTCTCGGGCAGGCGAGGGAGGAATCTCTGATGCAGGAGAGTGCAGTAGAGGACTGGAGAGATGCCTTAGAACAGCAGCGAGGGCCTGGGACAGGCGTTCCATGACAGCACAAGGGAGGCAGAGCAACGGAGCAGACGCTGTAGACATTCTCTTGAGCTTGCTTCTGTGCTCTCTGGGAACTAAGACATCAGCTGCAAGGAGGTGTGACAGCTGATGAGGAGGGTGGGAGGGGCTAGGAGAGACCCGGGAACTGCAGTATGCAGGTGGGCTTGGCGGCAAGAAGTTTACCTGGGGTGGACATAAACTTAAAGGGGGATCAATGAAGGAGTCACATTCAGCTTCAAGATGGAGCAGGCATGGGGCAGACATGACTGAATTTCACGAGGCTGGGGATTTGTCGACTGAATATAACCAAGCAAGGAAGTGCTGAAGTGCTGAGGTAGTGTGCCAGGGAGTAACGACGTCTCTGACTGGCACTGAAGCTATGAAGGAAAGGAATAAGGATACAAAGGAGGTGAAGTCTGAGAAAAGATGGAGCCACTGATGGATTCTAAGTGCCTGTGAGGTCAAAGGAGTATTAGAGTTGGGTATTAGAGGCAGTGAACAGGAAAAGGATCTCTCCTTTTGCAGATCACACAAAAAACGACCAGAGCTAAACAACCTTTACAGCACTATCCACTGTAAAAGTTGTTTGAGAAAGAACAAAATGTAGTTAGCCTTCAGAACATACACATCTTTATTTTATTTTATTTTTATTTATTGAGACCGAGTCTCACTCTGTCGCCTAGGCTGGAGTGCAGTACAATCTCAACTCACTGCAACCTCCGCCTCTGGGGTTCAAGCTATTCCCCTGCCTCAGCCTCCCGAGTAGCTGGGATTACACGCACCCACCGCCACACCCGGATAATTTTTATACTTTTAGTAGAGACAGTGTTTCACCATGTTGGCCAGGCTGGTCTTCAACCCCTGACCTCAGGTGTTCCGCCCGCCTCAGCCTCCCAAAATGCTGGGATTACAGGTGTGAGCCACCGCACCCGGCTTGGAGCATATGCATCTTTAAAAAGTTGTCTTTGGCCAGGCGCAGTGGCTCACGCCTGTAATCCCAGCACTTTGGGAGGCCAAGGCGAGTGGATCACCTGAGGTCAGGAGTTCGAGACCAGTCTGACTAGCACGGTGCAACCCCATCTCTACTAAAAACAAAAAATTAGCCAGGCGTGGTGGTGCATGCCTGTAATCCCGGCTACTTGGGAGGCTGAGACAGGAGAATTGCTTGAACCCGGGAACGCAGAGGTTGCGGTGAGCCGAGATCACACCACTGCACTCCAGCCTGGGCAACAAGAGCGAAACTCCGTTTCAAAAAAAAAAAGTTGTCTTCAAGAGCATAATCAAAGATACTTTCACTTCTTAATGTTTTGTTTCCATGTCTCGTCACAGAACATGGTACAGACAAATATTAGAATGGACTCAAGGGATCACTTGATTTTTTTTTTTTTTTTTTTTTTTTTTTTTTTTTTTGAGACGGAGTCTCACGCTGTTGCCCAGGCTGGAGTGCAGTGGCGCGATCTCGGCTCACTGCAAGCTCCGCCTCCCGGGTTCCCGCCATTCTCCTGCCTCAGCCTCCTGAGTAGCTGGGACTACAGGCGCCCGCCACCGCGCCCGGCTAATTTTTTGTATTTTTAGTAGAGACGGGGTTTCACTGTGGTCTCGATCTCCTGACCTAGTGATCCGCCCGCCTCGGCCTCCCAAAGTGCTGGGATTACAGGCTTGAGCCACCGCGCCCGGCCAGATCACTTGATTTTTAACTACAGAAACTTTCTGGTGACTAACGAGCACTGTCTTGTTTACATCTGCTGAAGTATGGGCACCAGACAAGAGTACAGCGCCGTCACTCAAAGCCAGGAATGATATGGATGTTACCATGAGGACTACTCAGCAGAAGATAAGCATCTCGTATGTCTACAGTGAACTCCTTTAGGCTAAACTATTGTTGCCAATGGTATATGGATTAGGACTGACTGCCACTGCCCATCTGCTTATAGCTTAGAGTCTGGTGAATGCAAACAACTGTTTTGGGGGGACTTCTGGTCCTTCCTTGGGCTCTGCTATCCTGGAAATGGACAGGCTTCTACAGGGGTTCAATGGTAGCCCTGAATAGTTAGGTGTACATCTTAACCCTCAGACCCTGTGGTTCTGACCTTATTTGGAAGGTCTTTGCTGCTGTAATTAAATGAAGGATCTTGATATGAGATCATCCTGGATTTAGGGTGGGCCTAATACAGTGACAAGCATCCAGAGAAGAATACGGGGACACAGAGAAGGCCATGTGAAGACACAAGCAGAGAATGGGGCAACGCAACTGCAAGCCAAGGAAAGTCCAGAACTGCCAGGCAGCCACCAAAAGCTGGAAGAGGCAAGGAAGGATCCCATGCTAGAGGCTCTGGGGGGAGTGGAGCCCCGCAACATCTTGATTTCAGACCCCAGGCTTCCTGCACTCTGTGAGAATACAGTTAGGGGTACTTTATTCTGACTACTCCGTAAACTTGAGCTCTAATTCTCTCTCAGCTTCTGAGCTTTAACAAAGTCTGTGCAACTTCTAGAGGAAGCATTTACTCAAAGCCCACCTTCTGCAACAGCTCTAGATGCCGCTTCCCCCCTCCACACAAGGAGTCTGCTCCTGCAGGTCCCCATTTTCTCCTCCTCATGCTCCCCTCTCTCCTGGGCCATTCCCAGAAGGATGCAAACATGCTCTCATATTCACCCACCTGAAAAACACCCTCATCCCCCTTTAGCCCACTCCTATTTTTCTGGTCACCATCACAACAAAACTTCTTAAAAAGACTTGTCTATACCCAACCTCCACTCCCTCACCTTCCATCACTCCAATCTGGCTTCTGTCCCCATCACCTCTAATTCAGTTCACCATGTGACAGGTAGGGTTTTTGCTAGTTTTAGACACAATGGATCTTGTTATTCCTGGCTTAAAAGCCTTCACCAGAGGATGGCCAACTGCGTACCTTTATTTGCCACTTGACCCTTCAAACCTCAAAGAAACAGAAGTACAGACATATGAAAAGGAAGAAATTTCTAACAGAGGCAATAACAGGAGAGGACCTCTGAACGGGTAAGATATGCTCAGCAAATTTCTAGACGCTGAAAGTAGGCAGGAACATGTTGACTTAACGGAACAGAGAGGAATGTACTACAAGAGAGATAGAGCAGATGAGAGCCTGTATACCTGTCAGGGCCCCAAAGAAGCTCTCAGACCAGACCAGACCAGACCAGAGGAGGGGCAAGCAGTGCTTTCATGTGTGTAACACCTGGGGGCTGCTGACTGCCAGATCTCGACCCACAAGCTTTGGGGCAGGGCACCTTCAATAAGCTCCCAGGTGAGGCTGATGCTGTTGGGGCTGGTGAGCAGAGCAAACTTGGAGTGGCAAGGTGCCACTTCTTCCCTCAGGCAAGAAATCAAAGGGTCCTTTCTAAATCAATAGCTAGAACCTTCCCTTCCCCGCCTCCCCCACCCACCCAAAGGC